TCCAGAAGTGTCAGCCGGACATTTCATTCACGGCCCCCAAATCATAGTAGATATTTATCATGGGAGTAATTTGAGCGAAGAGATTGAGAGAGCAAAACGACAATCGATCGATATTGCTAATGAAGTTATAAGAAAGAGTTCACTAAAAGCAGACACTCCAGTTATTTATTTGGTGTCTCCAGATCGCACTCGATGTAAGAAACGTCTGATTTATTAACCAAAAACTGAATGACAGAAGCCATTTTGAATCTACTTAACAATCTCCCCCCCCCCCCCCCCTATGGTACCTACTTAAGAATCTCCACCCCTCTAAATTAATACAGTAAATTAGCACTGAGCTTTCTATTAAGAATTCTAATTTTGCTGCATTCTGATTGGTCGAAAAATCGACCATTTTGACCTACTTAACAATCTGCCCCCTTTCTTGAAAGGGGTGGAAATTGTTATGTAGATCCGCAATTTTAAATGTCTACTTTTGAGAAATTTCTTCCAACAAAAACACTTTTCTCAAAGGTATTACAATTATTTTTCATCATCCTGAACTGTTTAATTTGAATTAAATCTATGGAAATTTACCTTTTAGCACCTTAAGACTTAAAAAAAAATTGCACTATCTTAAGAGAACTTCACCTTAACTTATAGCTATAAATATATTTATAAATACCTTGAAGTTTAAAGTGTATCATCCTTAAAGCACTGCATCAAGAAAATTTTATCAGTAAATGTATTTTTTTGATGCCGCATATAAACAGAACTTCCATCAATTTGTATTTTGGAAAAAAAAATTTCACTTGAAAAAATGCTTGTCATAGGATTTTCTCCTTGAAAATTGTATTATACGCATGCTTTCCATAGATTCCATATTTGAAATTGTGGGATAGACAATTTCTTGATTGGACGTCAACCCGGAGGGGCAGTTAGGTTAAATGTCTAGAGAGAAACTACGGCAATCAAGCTCCGTTTTATGAAAAAAAAAATGAAAAAAAAGTAGCAGTTAATAGCGTTTACTAAATAAAAAAGTGTTCAGTCAGGCATTCAGTTTTATTTCTTCGAAACTTCAGATTCTACAGAAGACGTCGATTCTCGGCTTCTTAGAGCTCAGAGCAAAATGACCAAAAATCTTGAGTCTCCTCTCATGCCTTCATCCGAGTTCCCGGCCTGTATTTTTATCTGGACCATTGAGGAGCCAGAAAACCAGGAACTTCTCAGAAAACTTGTGTCGCACCTCTTCAATATTATATCGAGGGTACGCGTTTACTGCAGAATAGTTTTCTTTCTCAACGACACGCAAGCAAACACAGATTTTGATGGAGTTATTCGATCATATCTACCACACGCCAAAATCAGGGACCGAGGCTATTTTGATTCTTAAGATATTAACTCGTCAACTTTTAGTCGGAGCAGTTTTACAATGGGTTTGAGAACTATTAAAGTAAAGCATGTAATAAACTTGCGAGCAATAATGCATATATTGTATTCATTTTCATTTTAGTCAATTGTAGGTGGATGTTTAAAAAACAGCCACCAACAAACTGCCATATATCCTGAAGCCAAAAACACCTCAAATTTACGCAAAATACATTAAAACTACGTAACAAGTGCATAAAAATAGTGACTATGTGTTGTTGTGTTGCAGATTGATATTATTTTTTGGCTTGCTGGAATGGAAATGTTTTTTTTTCTCGGTTTAGAGGCCTTTCGGATTGTTGGCCTACCGCTCAATTTTAGTTGCAACTAAAGTTTGTTTTTGTAAATATAATGTTCTTCAGATAAAATTTTATTCATTAATTCGAAAATTACGCTTCTATGCGGTGCATTCAGTCATACCAAGCTAATTTTGATAGAGTTAACTTGACTAAAAAACGCAAAACTTTATTAAGTTTTGCATTATCTAACCAACTTTTTAAGTGAAATCCAAAACCGAAATGGGGAGGGTTTAATTAGGATTCCATAAAAGAGGGTTAGCAATGTTTCTTAAAACTTAGCTTTTTTCAGTCGCAGTCTACCTGGTTCGAGATGCTCAATTTGTTTTTTCACCGTCTAGGCTAAAATTGGGTATGTTTTGACCGCCTTGACCCAAGGCCGGTCTGTTTTAATTTTCTCGGTGGAAAAAAAATGAGCTCGGCTTTGCTCGACCCTAGTGAGATTTGTTTGGAACGTCTCGATCGAATTCGGATATGTGTTGATTTTCAATAAACATGAGTTATTCCAAATTTAAAGTTATAAAGTAAAATCTCGGGATGATTTTTTTTATCAAATGAGATTTTTAGTTTATGAGTTTTTTGCAATTTCGATTTTTTTGTAGAGATAAAGTTTTTGATTTTTTCCATCTTATGCATACTCTGATTTTCAATATAGGTCGAAAACGCTAGAAAAATAGTTGAAACTCAAAAAATATGTATGCCAGTTTCTGATCGGTATGTTTCGACCGCGCTACAGGGTATAGCTCGACCGTGCTCGAGGTGTGCTATGTCCGTGCTCGAAGTTTGCTTCAATCGTGCTCTCAGTTTATTTCGACCGTGTTCGAAGTAAGTTCGACCGTTCTCAAGGTATGTTTGACCGTGCTCGAGGTGTCCTATGTCCGTGCTCGAAGTTTGCTTCGATCGTGCTCTTAGTTTATTTTGGCCGTGTTCGAAGTAAGTTTCGACCGTTCTCAAGGTATGTTTGACCGTGCTTGAAGTATATTTCGACCATGCTCGAGGTATAATTCGACCGTGCTCGAGGTGTCTTTCGAGCGTGCTCGAAGAATCTTTCGACCGTGCTCGAGGTGTCTTGCGGCCTCGCTTGAGGTATCTTTCGACCGTGCTCGAAGTAAGTTTTGACAGTGCTCGAATTATGTTTCGATTGCTCTCGAGGTATGTTTCGACCGTGCTCGAAATATGTTTCGACCGTGCTCGAGGCAAGTTTTGACCGTGCTCGAAGAATGGTTTTACCTTGCTCGCGGCATGTTTCGAATTTGCGGTACCCAGACCTCTGTCTCGACTATTCTTTTTTAGTCGAGCACTGACATGTGTTCGACTTTGAAAGGGCACCATCTAATACTTGAATTTTGACAGGGC